CTAGACCCCTGACGGGTTCAAGGAGAACATGCTTCCAATTTGGTCCAGTGAGGCTCAGTTCTGGGACCTCAGCGGAATGGTACAGATGAGACATGATCTTTCTACTGGACTCAGAGCTTTGGAAATGTGAGAGCCCCAAAGGCTAGCAGGGGAGAGAACTTTCTGGGAGTGAAGCAGAGCTTCCACATCCTGGTAACATTGTTTGAGTACCTGGATCCAGCCATGCCTGCAGCTGCACATGCCTATGCTTTACAAAGAGCCAACTTCTTTTTTACCAGAGTTCAGCTGAGTCAGGCTTTGGGGCACCCATTTAAGACAGCTGTCTGATAGGAAGAAAGAGAAAACAAAGGAGAGAAAGGTGGAGAGTGGCTTGGTGCCAGTTGGCAGAAGGGACAATGGAACACCCTGGTTGGAAAGGGGTGAAGTGATATTTTGTGAATCGTGACGTCAGACCTTCCATATGAAACTATGTGTGTACTGCTGTCTAATCTGTGCCCTGCCCCACCAACCATCAGTGAGTTCTACTATGCTTGAAAATGGGAGGAGGGTCTGTTTTGTGGGATGAAGAAGGAGCTGAGTCTCGTCTGAGATGAGGTGCTGTGAGACCCAGACCAGCTGTGGGAAGCAGGAGCCCAGAGCTGATGAGGCCAAGATGGAACTGGTAATTCTCAGCAGGCTGGGCTGGGCCAGGCGAGGGAGGCCTGAAGGCCCTTTTGATTCCTGGAATACTTCTGTTTGATCTGGGACTCCTATAGCTCTGGAAGCAGCATCAGTCCCTTGGGGCCCCTCCGCACATAGCACATATGTGTCCTAACATGTGTTCGCTGCCTGCTCCCCTCACACCCAGGAGCACCTCTGACCCTCTGGGAGGTGGACACATCTGTGCCATTTCTGTGCCCCAAGGTATTACACAGGGCTATGTCTGTGAAAGGTGCTTGGAAAAACATGGAATGAATAAATGAGCTCTCCCATTGCTTAAATATTTACTGTCTATTCTCTTAGGTTCCTGATCAGGATGGGGAATTGAGGTGCTAGGAAGTTCCCTTTCCATTTTCAAATACATGGAAGTGCTGGATAAGATATAATCATTTAAATTAAGAAGATAGAGTAAGGTCAAAAACAAGAAGGGGAGACGTCCAGCTAACACGGGGAGCAGGAGATGGAGCTCCAATGCTGTTGGGGGTGTCAGCACTGGGATTCTCATGCCCAAGTGCAGACAGGCACAGAAGACCTTGTAAGGTGACTTTCTAGAAGGAAGCGGCCGTGTGAGGCTGGGGGCTACCCAGAGGCTGTCCGTCCACCAATAGAAATGAGAAAAACCTCCCTTACTGGCCTTGGGATGTTGCCCCAGGTATAGAGCTCAACGTCTCGCTACCTGTGCAGTTCGGAAACTTCAAGCTAAGGAACCGGCCCAGAATCAGGCCCTGGTGGAGCAGATGGGAAACAGCTCTGAAGGGAACCTCACAGCGCTGGGGCTAGGACGGTCTCTCCCCCACCAGGGCTTCTGCCAATGATTGGTGCACAGTCAGCCGGCACAGAGCACACCGGGACCTCGTCATCTCAACAGAGAGAGCTGAGGTACAACGCAAGCAAAATCTTAGCTGTTATGGGCAACCCCAGAGAGACTGTAAACAAGGCCTGTTTAAATGCAAAAGTGGTAAAGGACAGGAAAGACCCCGCAGTTCCAGGATTGAGTGGGATGAAAAAAACGGAACAGTGAGATGAGGAGGTCGCTGAGATTATTCTAGGGAGATGGAGGAGTCAGACTTGGGTAACTGAGTCCTCCTTGATCTGTCCGGTTTGGGCTATGTGACTAGTCAAAACCCCCCCAGCCCCGAGGCTCTATGTCTCATTTGGAAAAGGGGGGCACAATACCAGCTCCCAAATATTGTCAGGAGATCAGTGAGTCAGTTTCTGTGACAGCACTTTGAAAACTGAAAGATCTAGGAAAGTGTGAGTCGGGTCATTCATTCTACCCAAATGGCTTCAAGCTGTCATTCCCAGTGGGGGGGCAGGGGTGGGGCTCAGTCTTTGCCCTTTTCTCTCCACCAAAGATGCATCTGCAGAACACCTGGAGGCACTCTAGAGTGATGTCACTTCAGAGGGTGTGGTGGGGCTCTAGTCTTTGGGGTGGGGGCCCCTTCCACCCACACATTCCTCCAGGCTGCAGGCCCAGGGGACGTGGCTCAGCAAACCACACAGGGAACTCTGAGTTCCTGTCATGCAAAAGCAGAGGTGACATTGTAGCCCACAGCCCCTCTCCAGCCTGTAAGGTGTCCTGCAGATGTTTCTGGGTGGGAGAGTCCAGGAGACTTGTGTGTGTTACCAAACCAGCCCAGGGTATGTGGCTTTGGGCTTTTCCGGCTGGGATTGGGCTCCTGGCCTGTCACGTACTTGTGTGCTATGCTGGCGAGTTGCTCCTTCCTGGCCTGTGAAGTATAGCTGATACATTTCTCATGGTGGGTTGAGAGGCTCCTTTGAGCTGACATGGAGAAAGTGCCTGGCCTCATGCCTGGAACACAGCTGATGCTCAATAAATAGCTTCGGCTGTTCTGTCCCCTCCCCTTTGCTCTCTTCTAAGAGGGAGAGCTTTGGGGCAAGTCACCCACAAACCTGCAGGTTCTGACTACAGCAGATGGGCAGAGGAGGTCTGCCTTCTGGGGCTGGCATGGCTTAGGGGGCATGTTTTTATAGGGGCATGGAAGCAAGTGACAGGGCCATCGCCTAATCACGGTGGCTATCACATGGTGTCACTTATTCTCCAGTCCTCCACCCCCTCATTCACTAGGCTTCTCCTTGAAGCCTCTGCAATGTCTGCTCCCCTTTTTCCTTACTAAGAGAACTCCAGTTGTGTTTGGGGCATCAATATGACCAGACTCTCTTGTAGACAGGAGCAGCCACATGGCACACTTCTGGCCCAGGAGCTGGAGGTGCAAGTTCTGGTGGGGAAGGGGTATCGCACCTGAATACAAGGGCAAAACTTACAAGAAGAAAATTCTCTCCTGCTTTGACACTGTCTGAACTTCTGATGTCTGAACAGCAGCCTGGAGGCACAACGGCCATTTTGTAACCATGGGTCAACAATAAAAAAGGGTAAAATGGAAAGAAAGAACTCAGAGTATGAGAGCAGGCAGACCTTTCCACTTTCTAGCTGTGTGGCTTTGGGTATGTTACTTCTCAGAGCCTCACTTTCCCACAATCTGTAAAATGGGGATAAAATCTCTTCCTTGCACAGATACGGAAGTAGAATATGAATTTACTTTTTCTACTGTGGGGCTGTCTCAGTGTGTCTCAGTGTTGGTAGTCGCTCTTACAATCATGCTGTAAAGGACAGTTACTTTAGGGAAAAACAAAGAAGAGACTCTTTCTCCTCTTGGAGAAAATTCCAAGGCTGGACACAGGCCCTAAGCCAACTGGTCCTGCTCTGTAGCTGATCAGCTATACAAACAGGAAGTGACTATCCAAACATTGGAGCTGCAGGAGGCTGGTCTGGAGTGGGCCTCCTCGGAGGCCTCCCTCCACCACTGGGCCTTCTCATCTCCCAGCTGTGAGCGCCTGAGAAGTCAAGGCCGAGTTGCCTCCTCTGAGGAGCTAGGTTCAAAGCGTCTCTTCTGACTGCCTTGCCCACTGGCCTAGGTCAGACCACCTTCTTTGCAGACTGGAGTACGACACCCCCTCAGTGGACACCCCACTGTCTCTTGCTCTTCCCCCTCCTCCCATGACCTTGTCACAACTCTAGCCAGAGTAAATTTTTTTTCAAATGCAAATCTGCTTGTGTCATCCCCACACTTAAAACTTTTCTCTGGCTTCATGTTCTCTTGAGAGAGACTGAAGCCCTTGCCACAGCTTTCCAGGCCCTGGGCGGTCTTTCCTCTGTCTGCCTCTCCAGCTTTACCCCTCCAGCCACTCTGGTTTCCATTCAGTTCCTAGAATGTGCCAAAGTCCATCCTGCCTCAAGGCTTTGTGCATATGGTCTCATTATTCTAGACGTTCTCCCCTCTCCCATTCCTGGCCCATCTTTCCAAGGAGCATCCCATCCTCAGCTCTCAGCTTATGCATCACTTTACCGGGTGCTGGCTGAGCCTGAGGAGAGCAGGACAAGGGTCTTCCCTCACAGCATCCTTCCCGCGTGCTGCCTGATGTCTAGTCACATGATCTCATGGCCTAACTCAGGGCTGCTCAGGGCAGGGAAAATTTGGGTCTGTTTGGTTCATAGCCACATCCCTGGAACCTGGCATTGCCCCTGTACAGAATTGGTGCTCAGTAAATGTGGAAGGGGAGCAGGCCTGCCTTGTCATTCAAAAGGGAGAGGGGGGCTCTGTTTATGGAGTGCCTACTATGTGCCAGGCACAACCTTGCTGCCTTTTCACAGCCACTCTGGCAGGCAGGACTCCAGTCTGTGTTCCACCGAAGAGGAAACAGGCTCCAAGAAGGGCAGTGACTTCCAAGGTCACATATCTATCAAAGGCCCTGCCAGGATTTGAATGCTGGTCCCAAGCCCAGCTTCTGGCCCTGGTGGAGTTAGCACAAGGGACTACCCTACATTTGTTTTCTCATCTGTAGAATGGGGACACTATAGTACCTACCTCCCAGGACTGTTGGGAGGGTTCAGCACTAGAGAGTTTAGCTCTGAGCCTGGCACACATGAAGTGCTCAGTGACTGTTAATTAGTAGCAACATTATGACTGTGTTGGTCTAATCAAAGAATAAGAATGACTATATCCGATTGCAACCCACGACTGGGCAAATGGAGGGACTTTGTGTGTGAACAGGAACATGGACGAATGCATGCATGGATGAGTGGGCGGTTGAAGAGCAAGTGATAGAGTGAATGAATGGCTTAAGAAATGGAAGAACCTATGACCGAGTGGAGGCTACGTGAACGAACGCCTGAACAAATAAGGGAACACGAGAACGAGTGCGTGCATGTGCGTGTGCGTGTGCGTGGTAGGGGGATGCACACCTGAGGTTTGGGAGAATGCGGTCAGAGGGCGGCTCACCTGCAGCGCTGCAGCTCGTCCTCCAGCCGCCGCACCCAGCGCTGTAGGCCTGGCACCTGGCACGCCAGCGCCTCCAGCTCGCGCACGCGACGCAGGCTGCGCAGCACCGCCTGCCGGGCCTCCTCCGCCCGTCGGCGCACGGCGGCTTGGCCCTGGCGCAGCCGCCCCGCGCGGGCCTCGGCCGCCGCCAGCGCGCCCCGCGCCTGCCGCAGCTCGCGCGCCGCCGCCTCTGGCCCGCCGCGGCCCGCCTCCCGCGCGCTCGCTTGGCTCTTCCAGAGGCCGACCTGCGGGGACAGGGCAGCAGGGCACGCGGTGAGCGCCTCGGGCCAGACGCCCGACGCCGGCCATCAGCGCGGCCGCCATTCCCGAGCCTCCGAGTCAGCAAGGCGACTGTGCATGTTTACTTGGCCCACTTCCTACCGCTCCCAGGCTAGTCTGAACTCGTTTTATCCTGGCAATAACTTTAATGAGGCAGGAGCTCTAATCATCCCCCGTTTTTAATGAATGAGAGAAAGTGAGGCACAAAGCCCATAATTCTGTTCTTACGGGCTTTTGCACCGTACCAGTGATTCCCAAACTTCACGACTCTGCCTATCTTCTACATTCATAGCACTCAGCCTTCTGTGGCTCCGCCATCACCTTGACTTGAGGAACAATCTAAGCCCCTCGGCGTGGGGTTTCCAGCCCTCTCTGGTGTCTGGTCACTAGACTGTCTTTGAGGGTGGGAATTTTGCCTTGTTGACTGCTGTGTCCCCGGTCCCTCAAAAGGCCTGGCACACAGTAGGTGCTGAAGAAACACCTGTAGAATGAATGATCCTGGAGAGTCTTAATCCACATGGCAATACGTTTCCTCTCCTACCCTCTGCTTATCTGCTGCCCCTTGGCCGGCTGCCCTTAACATCCACCGGCCATGGTGCCTTGCCAGCCGCTGCTATGGCAGCCTTTTACCAACCACTTGGGGAGGTGACTGGGCTGCGTGGGGAACCGGGCTAATAAACCATCAGCTCTCTCCTGGCCTCTGTTCCCTTGGGGCACACAGTTCTTTTACTCATGTGACACCCCTCCCTCACCATCACCACTGACACACAGCTAGGCACAGTGCTGAAGTGTTTGTTGACTGAATCTCAGATGTTTGGGCTGGGTCCATATTTCATTCAGTGCTTCCTTCTCAACATCCCTGAGTAGGCCTGGCCCCTACCGGCGCTCGATGGCCAGTGGCAGTTTGATGGACAGTGACACTACCTATTTAGCACCTGGACATCAGGTCTGGCCCTGAGGGAGTCCCATTCGTATTTGTCAAATGACTAAATGAGCTCCCCATCCACCCTATTAGGCAGGGAGACTCCTTAAGTGTGGGGACAGAGCCCTCTGCCCACCTCCTCTCCTAAACCTTCCAGAAGCCTGGCACCATGGAGAGTTCAAGATGCCTGTTGCATGAATATGGAGACTGCCCAGGTTTTCTGGGAGAGTTCAATTACTGGGTTAGAAGAGGCCAGACTAGATGGTGGGGGTGGGTATGTGTGGGATGGTTATCTGGATGGGACCAGGGGCTTGCGAGGTGGAATGGGGGATGAGAACAGGGGTGGGGACTGGAGAGGGCTGGAGTGTAATGGGGTCGAACAGTGACAGGATGCAAGTTGGCTGAAGTGGGTTGGGGCTGCCCTTTCTCTCCCCTTCCTCTTCCTTTGCCCAAGCTCTGCAGCCAGGTGGCTGCTCAAACGACCTCCCCAGCCCATTCCATCGGGACTGCCCCCAGACCCTAGAATCCCCTCCGCGCCGGCGCGCACCTGTAACGCTAGACAGCGCGCGTCACTGCTCTGCAGCGCGGCACGCAGGTCCTCTACCAGCTCCCGCAGGCTGCTGTTTTCCTCCGCCAAACGCGCCGTGCGCTCGCTGTCCGGGCCGCCGTCTGGGCCCCCTTCCGGGCCCGGCGTGTGTGGCGGGCGGCGGCGGCGGCGCGGGCGGCGCAGGCGGATCTGCGTCTCGATGTGCTCGCTGAGAGCGCCGCGGGGCAGCCGGGGCCCGGCGCGGGTGCCGAAGTAGCCGCAGAGGCGCGCGTGGAACTGGCGGAAGGTGAGCTCGGGCGGCTCGGCGCGCAGCGCCAGGAGCGCCTCCTCCTCTGCATCCGCGTCCTGGTCGGTGGCCACCCCAGCGGCCGCGTCTCCGGTCGTCACATCCCCGGAGTTCGCGTCTCCGGTGGCCTCATCCCCGGCGGCATCTGTCCCATCGGCGCGCAGCCCCAGGACCTCGCAAAGCGCGCGGAAATCGGCGCGAGGCAGGCGGCCGGCGCCGCGGCAGTCCAGGTGGTGGAAGACCTCCTGCAGGTACTGGTCCAGGCCCGTGGCCAGCACCACGATCTCGTTCTCCACGCCACGGTCCAGCCCATAGTGGTGCGCCAGGGCGCTTAGCAGCCACTGGGTGCGCCGCGCGGGTCGCCGGTACGGGTCACCCGCCGCGCCCTCCATGCTGGTCTCCGGGCCCGGGCAGCTTTGCTCCATAGCTGCCGCGCGTAGCTCCGCCAGCCCCTCCACCCCGCCACTTCCAGGGGCGGCCCCAGAAGTTCTCGAAAGGAGGGGCTTAGCGGTCGCGGTCTGGTTGGAGCGGCGCCGAGGGCTGTGTCCAGCAGCTGCGCTCGCCTGGCAGGGCGTCTGTTTACCCCGGGTTGGTTTGGAGGGGGCTGGGTAGGGGGTTTGATGCCTCTCCCCGTCTCGCTTCCCCTGTTGACCCACGCGCTCATCTCCCCTCATCTCCAGGGGAGTTCCTGGCCTCCCCTCTTTTCCTCCCACTCCCGGGTCTGTCCGCTTTCATCTCCACCACCCGCCGTGCGCGGAGAATCTTTCCCGGGATCCGACTAGGGAAGAGGTTGGGCGCAGGATAGGAAGCGGGGAAAGGACTGGAGGGTGGCAGCCGGGTCCTGTTGCAGGGGGATCTCTCCCACGCGGCACTCCACCCCTTCTCCCCAGGAACCCCTTGAGCTTGCTCTAGCCGCCCTCCAGCCCTGGAGGTGTGGAGAAGCCCCCCCTCCATTTATATTCTGGTTTTGCGTTCCCAAAACGGCATCTCACTGCACCATGGACGGTGCAAAGAACCTCATGTGGTAACTAGAGCAGAGGATACCAGGCTTGGAGAAGTGACTGGACTGTATTAGGAACCTCCTGCTGGTAGGAAATCGATCTGAGATGTACGCTGCTAAGCTCTGTGTGTGTTTGGCGGGGGACGTGGGGATAGAAAAGCTGTGGTCTTCCAGCTCCCACTTTTGCACCTGTGGATGGTGAGCTGGCAATGTGGCCGCAGAGTTCCATCTCAGACCTAGAGTTATGCTTAACAGGCTGCTGTTCTGCCAACGTTTCTCTAGTGCTTAACAGGCTACTGTTTGGCCAACGTTTTCTCTGTTGCCTTAGTACTTTCTGGAAGGTAAAAGAAAAACCAGCTAGCTTGTCAGGTGAGTGCTAAGCTGCTTTTCCTTTCCTTTCTCTTGCACAAGAGATGGGTAGAGATGTCCAGCACCTGCTACCAGCAAAATGGTTATCCAGGCAAGTTGGAGCAAGAGGCAGACTTTATAAAACTGTCCTCTACTATCATAGATGGGAAGAATCTGGTCTTGTGTGTAACTCTAGGAACTTAAGTGTTAGACCTGCAATTTGAAAAAGCACTGAAATGTTGTCTCCAATACCTCAGTATCCCAGAATCAACATTTTGTCCATTTTGCAAATTCCTGCTTATTCCTGAACACTCTGTCCAAGGGATGCCTCTGCCAGGAAGAAGGTAAGATGCTTCTCCCTAACCATGTTGGAGGTATGTTTTTTGTTTTTTTTAAATTATCACATCTATTCCACTTCTTGGCTTCCACCTTAAGAAGATTTACAGGATGTTCATTGCATCATTGCCTATAATCATGACACACTGAGACCACCTGTGGCCCTTCAGTAGTGGAGCCAGGATGAGTCACCAAAGAAAGGTTGAGTGAAGAAAGCAAGTGACAGCATATTATGTGCAAAGTTAATACTTTCATATCCTTACACAGCAGCGTTAAATATTTTCTACAAGGACATGTGTGTGTTAAGTGCACAGAAAAAGAGGGAAGGATTTCAAACTGATCGAGTAGTGTAGGGATTGGAGATATTTCACATTCTCCTTTTTAACATGGCTGTGTTTTTCTCTTTTTCCATCTTTCCTTACTTTTTCTTTTTAGGGGGACATATTTTATTTAATCATTTCCATGCCATAACGTGCACCCATTTAAGGCCTATATAAATAGATAGGTTTTAGTGGGTTTATAGAATATATAGCCATCACCATGATCTAATTTTAGGATATTTTCATCACCCACTCCCCACAAAAACCTTGTACTGGTTAGCCCCCCCCGCCCGAACCCCCAGCCCTAGGCAAACACTACTTTCCATTTGCATGGGTTTGTCTCTCTGGACATCTTTGTTTCCCACAGGAAAAACATTTTATTTGCTTTGTGAAGAAAGGGAATGTTAAATAGATTTACTTTGCAATTATTTCATTAGCTGTGGGTTATTCACCTGTTTCTCTATTTGTAAATTTGTTTTTCATTTGCAAATTGTCTGTACAAGTTCTTTATAGGTGTATAGTGGTGTTTGAGTGTTTTCTTCTTGTTTCTGATTGCTTCTTTCAAACAAGGAATTGGGTTTTTTCCATCAACTTTGCATTTGCCACTGAGTTCTGTTAGGTATGAGTCGTATATGTGGGGAATTGTGAGTGTGTATAGTTGTGTCGGTAAAATCTACCCAGTCATATGTGTTCCCTCCATTGCTTTTTTTTTATTTTTCATTTTTCTTTCTGAAAAATTGAGCTGTCACTTTAATATTCTTCACTAGCAAATCCTTCCTTTTTTTTTAAATGCTTTGTTTCTGTCTTTGGCAGGTATTTTCAGAAAGGTGGACTGAAAGTCTCATTCCATTCCTGTTGTCCAGAGTATGCTGGCTTGGAAACCTGATGGATGCAGGTGCCCAGGGCTGCAGGGTTGTCCTGCCGTCCCCACTCCTGAGAGGCAAGCAGCCTGGGTCTTGCTGAGTAGCCTGGACCTTTTGTGGAAATGGAATCATACAATATGTGACTGACTGTTTTTTGAAAACATTAACAGCAGTGTTTTCAAGGTCAGCCATGGTGTAGCCTGTGTTGGTATGTCATTCCTTTTTATGGCTGAATAATAGTCCATTGTATGGCTAGACTGCATTTTGTTTATCCAGTCATCTGCTGATGGACATTTGAGTTGTTTCCAATTTTTGGCTGCTCTGAATCAAGCTGCCATGAACGTTCGTGCACAAGTTTTTGTGTGTTCACATATTTGCATAGGAACGCCGATGTTCTCTGTGCAGGACCCTGCTCTTCCGTCCCATGTTCCTGGGCCTGCAGCCTGCTCAGTGAATCCCTGCCATCGACTTCTCCTCCCATGGCCACGCCCGCATCGTGTCTGTTGGCTGTGCAGCGCTCCACCTCCAGAACATACTGAGCCCTGCTCCCTCCTCCACTGGTACCACTTTGCGCTCAGATCCAGCTCTGCTGGCCTGTATCACTGCAGCAGCCTCCACCCAAGAACTGGCCTTGAACTCTTTCAGTCTGTTCTCTGCAGCCGGTGGATCCCTTTGTGATTTCTCCCACAGGGACTGAAGGCAAAGTCCTCACCATGCCCCAAGGCCCGGCCTGCCTGGCACCTGAATCCCCCCCTCCCCCCGGAAACCCCTCTCCAACCTCATCTGTTGCCACTACCTCCCTCCTGACGGCTTCCTGACCTCCCCTCAGCCCGCTGGCATCTGCTTTTCCCAGAGGTTTCCAGCCCATGGCCTCACCTCCCAGTCCTTTGCTCTGTTGTCACCCCCTCAGTGAGATGTTTGCTGACACTGCAGGCACTCCATACTTGTAACAGACCCTGTCTCGCCTGTGTGTGTGGTCCATCTGCCTGTGTTAACCTGTCGCCTGAGGGTAAGGCTGTTTGTTCACCTGGAATGGTGTCTGGCACTCTATAGAAAGATCCACACTTCCATCTCAGCTGCCTCTTCATGGATAGTGTGATGTGTTGCTTTCCACATGTTTTCTTTGCCTACAAATGGTATGTATTTTTACACTGGTATTTTTAAAAAGCAGCCATTATGCTACATTACCATTTATTTGTGGGCCCCCCACAGGATTGGAGCTTTGTGAGGCCAGGGACCTGTGCCCCCCAGTGCCCAGTGTGGGGCTTGGCATCAAGTAGCACTAACAGCGTTGGCTTGTCTGAACACACATTTGTAGAAGTGGATTTACTGCATCAAGAGGGAGAATTAACTCTGGTTGGCATGGGGGGATTGAGTGTCCTTTGGCCCGGTGATGTTGGAGTCCACGAAGCCTCTATATTTTGGTAGTGGACTGGATCCCCAGCTGGGCCATGGGAGCTTCTGGGCCTGGAGCCACACAGCTGGGCGGTTTGCTGTGTACATTTAGAATAAGACTCTGGAACTTGGATCTGGGCTTTCCAGTTGTGTCTCTGCAGATGAATCTGATTTAATTTCAAATTCGTGCGGAGAGCGGGCAACCCAGGGAGGGCTGCGATTGTCCCCTGCCCTGCCTCTGCCTCCGGAGACTGCTTTGCGGAGGGAACCCTTTCAACAGTAACTTTCCTGGGTCAGTCAATGTTGAAAAGAAAGGCTTTTAGTGTTTTGCCATGGAGCCCGTTGCCTGGGCCTCACCGCCTGCAGCTCGGCAGGGGCAAGGGAAGTCAGGGGTTATAATGGTGCGCTGTCAGGTCTGTCTGTCTGCGGGGCAGGGTTACCAGGCACCTGTGAAATAATTCCAGTTGGACCCACAAGGTTTTGTTTAAGGCTGGAAGTGAGCAAACTCTGAGCTCTCCTGCTGTCCTTTGTCTGGGCTGGGGGATGGGTGTATGTCTGCTGGGGGAGAGCAGAGGTCCCAGCAAAGAAATGATTTTCCAAAGTCAGTTCAGCATTACGTGAGTCATTTCAAATAGCATATTGTTCCAAGTGTCTTTAAACAGCCCAGAAAATGCTAAAAAGCAAAAATCACCCACTATCGTGCCGACAAGGGGGGGCATGGGGTGCTTCTGATGTATTTACTTCTGATGTGGTTTTACACGCATTTGAGTCCAAAAGAACTTTTTGGGGGTGATGGAAATATTCTGTATCTTCATTGGGATGGTGGTTACATGACTGTACACAGCTGTCAAAACACTTAAAAAAGGGTGAATTTTACAGGATGTGAGTTGTACCCCATTAAACTTGACATAAAGAAACACATTTGAAAGGCTGCTGGTGGGATCTTCGCACATCAACCACCCTTCCTGAATAGCTTCACCATCATTAGCCTCCCTGTGCCAAAGTTCCTGAGTGGGCTCCTGCTCCCTCTTAGGACTCAGCTGGGAGCGGCTTCTTTGCACCCGCAGAAGCACGGTAAGGTGGTTTGCAGTTTTTCTCTATTAAAACAACACTGAATGGTTGGCTCTATATCCTGAGTGATTTATTACTGCACCAAGATATATGAACATCTTATAAGCTCTTGATAGTGTCAGACTTTTTCAGAAATTTTGTGTC